CCTCGACAACGAATATACCGTTTGGATCCGTTTTGAGCATCACTTCATTGCCACACTTAATGATCATCGATCCCAACGATTCCCATATTTCTCGCACTTCATTGCAATCAGACAAACGCATGTTTCTAATTATGAACAAGGGCACTTTTCGGACGGACATTGTTTCACCTCAAAACTAATTACCGTAGTAATTTTTAAACTTTTTAAACAACTCTGAGTTCACTCAATAGTTAAGCAATTAAGGTAAGTGTTTTCATTTTATATAAATTCCTACTTTAGTGGGAATTATTTTAATGTATATATTGAGCATATATTCTGTGTAGAAATTAACATCAAGTTGTTATCGATACCGTATGTACCCAATTAGCACTATTAATCACTATGTTCAATTTAAAATGTGGCTTTCAAAATGGAATTACATAACTATAGTACGAATTTGCACCAATGTGAAAGTAATGCTACTTGGGAATAGTAGATTACAAGTTCAGAACATCCTTACATAAATTAAAAAGTTTATGATAAACACAAGTAAATATTGAATACAGTATTGATACTGTAATGCAACATGCGCGTTTCACTTTGTCATTACTTCATTAATAGCGGTGTAATCAAAATTAACAAAATACTGTTCATAGTCAATTACTAATTACTATTTTAATTTATTAAATTAGTGATTAGTAAAAGTTTATTTAGTGCATATTTAACTAGTTCAATATAGTAAGATGTCATACCGTTTTTATCTAATATAATAAATGAATTTAATTTAAGATTTAGAACTATATTACGAAAATTGTTTGATCTGGTTAATCGTTTAAATAACAATTAACTTTTAAGTTTATAAATAATTTAATATTTTATTTATATACTGTAGTTGTAAATATTTGTACAGTATTTGTAGAATAATTGTAGATTATTGTTAAACCAATTGTAAAATCAAATATTAGCAGTGATCTAATTTTAAAAAATCAATAAATAAATAAACTTGCTAAAGGCTTTAAACTACTTATGAACTATTAATAGATTAACTATTGTAATGATATTAAAAATGTGAAAATATGTACAAACAATTTATAAAATATATTTTATTCAAATTAAAACTTTAACCATTAAAACGAATAGAAGACAGTGCTCTGGATAGCGAAGACTTTATCCAAATCTCCGTTAACTATCTCTTTAGTAAATGATGTCAACTGATCCCTCACTACCTTTAAGCCTAATCTCTTAGCAAATTCATGGGATTTATGGTGAAAATTCCAACATTTGCAATAAATATCAGTAGTTTTATTAGCGGGTATGAGCTGGCAACATTTGTTGCCCAATAACTCGGCGATCTGTGGGTCATTTGCATAGAGAGGTTCAAAGGTCATGATCTCATCGTTTACTGTCTGTAAAAGGAAACTATAGCCCAACACTTCATTTCTCTCATTAACGGCCACTAAACTGATATCTCCCGGCGTTTTGGCGAAACCCGAAATCATTACACGTCTGTCTAAACCGCAGATTGCTTTGTCGTACTCAACCACAGCCGACACATTTGCATCAGTGATGGCAACCACAGAGATTCCCGCCATTTCATTGATAATGTCTGCACAAGGATTGAATTGTCCTCTGAAATGATGTAAATATCTATCGGGGATACACTTGAAGTTGTGGTGATCTCTGTATATCTCAAACATTTTCACAGTGAATGCAAAGAGGCCCACATTCCTGTCCCCCATGTGTGCCATTCCTGTGTTCCACAGCTTTTGTCCGATTCCGTGGCCCCTGTAGTCCGGTCTCACGCAATAGCCACCAATGAATGCCAGATCATCTGACAGATTAACGGCCGCCACATATCCCAACAGTTTCCCTGTTATACACAAACAGATTATTCAAAAATTGACACAATTTTATCAAAAACGTGTAGTCATTACCGGAATCGGTGTCCTCGACAACGAATATGCCGTTTGGATCCAAATTAATCATCACTTCATTGGCGTACTTAACGATCCCGAAGTTAACGGATCGCCATATGTCTCGCACTTCATCGCAATCAGACAATCGGATGTTTCGGATCACGTAATTGGGTTTCGCTGTCACAGACATTATCTCTTACTTTAGCAATAATTTTGTGTGAATTCTAGTTTTATTCCTCAATTTTCAATTCATGTTTGCAACTCTAATGTGACAAAAGTTTTGCGCAGTGAGAGTGAGTTTTCATGTCTTTTATATTGTGAATTACAATTTGTGATGAATATGGCACTAAATCATCAATTTCACAAATGCGATAATCATTCAGGGTCATATTTATTAGAATTCAATGTCTGTTTACTTTTTGAATGCATGCGCTTAAACACTGAATCGATATTTTTTGTTCAATATTTCCCAACAGAGTTTCGGTAGTGTCTGAACGCCTGGTATTAAACCATTTATTATTAGCGCTATATTTGTAAATATAAATTTTATTACAGAAAATATTACGCTATTTATTAATTCATACGATTAGATAAAAATATGAATAGTTAGCATCAATAGTTGTTTGGTACTGTTTATCAATGAATTGAGTTCACATGAGAATTTTTACATTAAAACATTTAAAGTGGAAACAAAAAATTTAAGATTTCATTTATTTACGTCAAATATTATAAAACAATAAATTTCTAGACCCTCTAATTATTAGAGTAATAATATTAGAGTCTAATAATAAAAGAAATTCAATATCAAAATTACAAAATATAATAAATGTTTACAAACTAATATAACAAATGTACATATAAATTATTATATAATATTATATTTAAATAAATTTAGCTGACATTAATAATATATTTTCTGATAACTTGTTTGCAAACTATTTCTTTCGCTTTTATATGAGTGAGATTCACATGTTTTGTACAGACATCGCACCAATAAAACCAATATTATGGCCAATAATATCACTATAATAACAAATATAATTAAATCAGTAATAAATCACAATTTATAAAATATTAAACTTATAAAAAATTTATTTGGCAATTAATTCTGTTTGAGTGACCATAAATTTAAAACTCTTTTAAATAAAATTAGATTTACAAGCATTTAAATATTAAGACAATAATCTTTTTAAANTATTTCTTTCGCTTTTATATGAGTGAGATTCACATGTTTTGTACAGACATCGCACCAATAAAACCAATATTATGGCCAATAATATCACTATAATAACAAATATAATTAAATCAGTAATAAATCACAACTTATAAAATATTAAACTTATAAAAAATTTATTTGGCAATTAATTCTGTTTAAGTGACCATAAATTTAAAACTCTTTTAAATAAAATTAAATTTACAAGCATTTAAATATTAAGACAATAATCTTTTTAAATTCAATAGAAATAAAATTGTCTAGTATAAGTTAAATACGGATTAAAGTACCCATTAAAATCTTGATCATCAATACACACACCAACGTAAAGGCATTGAAATTAATGAAGGAATTGCCAGAATTTCCAGAATTGTCAGAATTTCCAATGTCTTGACACTCCTGGTCCCAGTCCTCTGGTATATGAGTGTCCACTGAATTGATAAACTCCTCTAAAGTGCAGTCAGATTTTGGATTACATTTGACTAGTTTTAGTTCCTCGTAATCATCACCGGATGTGGCGCTCAGAGAAATGTCATTGAAATACAATAACTTCACCACAAAGTGGT